AAGGATGAGGTGGGAATGAATTTAGGTCCAGTTAAATACATGATTGGGGACAATTCTATTATGAACAAAGCTGCATTTGATGAGTGCATTCCGCCCAGCCTCGTTGGTGGTACGCACGGGATGTAAGAGAGACTACGCATTATTTCTCCCGCTTTACTTTTAAAACCAGGACATTATAGGAGAGTCATAAACGACAGAAGAATGAGTAAATAAATAAATAAACGTCAGGTTAGTAATTGAGTGGCGAGAAACGAGGTAAGCATTGCACTTAGTAGACTACTACAAATTAGGGAGAAGTAATTGTGGAGCAAGGAGGTGGGAAAACTACATGTAGTCTGCGATAGTTTTAAGATATATGATGGCGGTGAAATAACACGGGTCAAAATCACCAGTATCATGGGTAATAATGAGGATTGCTTCAGGGGTATTCGCTGGAAGACAGTCCAATCAAATCTGATAAGTGTCACGAGGAACAGCTTTCTACATCAGCCTAAATTCCGATGTTCACGTGGGTGCGCCGACTAAACAATAGGACTATGACGCACTTTTAGTTTTGTTTTGGCAACAAACAACCTCATGCAGCCGGCTATGCTGACTTCGCCGCAGCCCCGATGCGGAGATTTCCCCCACCCTAAAACGCCCATTGGCTGCGGATGCTACCGTGCACTTCGGCGACACACAAACGAGGAGCCTTCAGCCATTATTTTCCAAAACAATCTTTTGTCTCGATTAAAAACGGTTTCTATTCACCGCAAGAAGTCATGGGCACATTTTATATCGGTCAATAAATATTGCCGAGGATCTTTTAAAATATACTTTATGGCCCACACTAGAGTTAGACCTTGCTTTTCTTAACCGGATACAGCCGGGAGTGACTCTTAAAACTTTTGTAGATTTTAAGGCGTGGGAACTTTACACGCGATATCACCGGAGGGGCTAGGTAGGTAACCCAACAGTCGTTTAAGGCTAATATATATATCAGGTGCAAAATTTGAGATAGGTGAAGATGCTAAATTCCATAAACTTAGCGCTTTAAATTTCAAGAAAAAATTATAAAAGAATTTTATCAGTGAAGCAGCACGAAAATTAGACTTAAAACATAAGCGAAACTCTAAGAAATTAGTTTAAGGTTTAAACCTCGGCTAAAATATATATTTGCTAGGCAAGAGTACTTGTTTATAATTGCTAGCAAGAATATTAGAATATATTTTTGATCTTTCTACTCATTTTATCCGCAGATAAATGTTAAGAGGAAACAGAAAGAGAGTAATGGTGACTTTTAAAGACTAACTTGCTTTTGACACGAGTTTATTCATGTCTGAGGCATCCGAACACAATGAAGCACAGGACAGTACCCATATATGCGTGGCACGACGGACCTAGCGGGCTCGCTTCAATCACTTGACCATTAGATAGTGCTCCTTTACAGTGAGACGATTTACTCGTCTCCAGTTTGCGTCTAGTACAACAGTAGTCGTAATCTTGGGGAGTAGAAGGAGATGTCTATAGGACTGCAAGTCATTTCCATTTGATTAAAGAAGTTACGCCTAAAACA